TATATTTATAATATATATGTAAATGTTGGCTCCTTGATTTTTTAAGAGAACTTATAAAAATTTTTTGTTAAACATTAATTAATTTTATGTATATACAGCTTTTTATAGTTTATAGCACTTCAATCATTACACATTATTTCGTATTTATTTTCCACTCCACTCTCAGTCATATTCAATAAGTTCAGTTGAAATTCGTACAAATTGGTTTTCGCTACCAGCATTAATTAATATGTTAAATATGTTAAATTATTTTCAACTTTCTGGTGCTTCAAGCATTGCATATTCCTTTGTATATTCTCCATTCAACTCTCAGTCAGTTGAGTTGTTACCCCTTGTATGTTGATTGCAATCCCTTGTCCGTGCGACTGTTGCGTTACGTTGCTCAAAGCCAGTCCTATTGAATTTTGATCCCTGGTCATTCAAGCCCTTGCTATACTCCTTGCTCTACCTCTAACCTTGGCCACTTAATGACCGTTCAGTGGTTAGCGCAGTTCCGAGCGCACAGTTGGATGCGTCAGAGCTGTATACTCTCTCTCTCTCTCTGTCTCTATCTCTTTGTCTTTCTGTCTCTCTCGGCTGCTCTCTTTTCCCCATATAACAAGCTGTTTGTCAACACCAGCACATTTTTTGGTCATTTACTGACCACATAATTGCGGCATATTATATCCCTATACAACAGGCGCCTATTCCCCCCTGCACCCAGTGCATGCCCTGCGCAGCCCTGTCCCGCACTGCCTTCATTGTTCATTTCGCTTGCTCCAAACCGCCCCGCCCCTTGATATTTCAACGGCATTATTACGTTTTCCTGGTTCATAGGTTTTCCGCTGAGGTCGCAAACATTGCCCGCTGTGGTCGTGGTCATATTACGTGTATATTTAATTTTTTTGTTTTCTGTTCTTTTTTTTTTTGCTGTTTCTCTACCTTTCTTTTTTTTTTTGTGTGTGTGTGTGAAAAGTTTGTCCTTTTGAACAAAGGCGCAGACAAGGATGCATTTGTGCCGTGGCAAGGATATCTTTGGGGACGCATGAATATGAATCAGATTGCCAGCTGAGTGAAAAATGAGTGCAAATTATTTAAATGCAATTTAAAGAAAACATTTTTAAATACAATGCGAATGCAGCTCATATTATATATGTCTCTCTCTCTCTCTCTCTCTCCCTCTGTCTCTTTTCATGTATTATGTAATGGCATTCTTCTTCTCTTTTTAAATATTTGTTATAAACATTATCTGCAACGTCGACCGTCTGGCGGCCTCGATTGGAATGCCAAACCCGATTGCTGCTGCTGCTGCTGCAGTACCGCCGGATATCCTAGATTATCCTACAAGCACGGACATGGTCGTACGGGAGGGCAGTAACGTGACGCTCAAATGCGCTGCTACCGGTTCACCAGAGCCGACAATTACATGGCGACGTGAAAGTGGAGTGCCCATTGAGCTGGCCAACGGCGAGGAGGGTAAGTCAGCAATGGGGCAAAGTTTTTGGGTTTGGAGTATCGCCATGGTCATATGCATGCATGACTCTCTCTCTCTATCTCTCCCCTCGTCGCTGTCTACACACACACAGTTGTATAATTATATATATATATATAAGTGTGTGTGTGAGTGGGTGTATGTGTGAGTGGTAAGTACTTTCTGCTGTTGCGCTGCCATCGCCATCGACTGCCGACTGCCGACTGCCGAATGCCGGCTGTGCTGCATGAGGTTCGCCCGCCAACATTTTGGAGTACTTTTACACAAAAAGGTAGCCAACGGCTGGGTTATGGCCCAGCAGACAAGTGCACAGCAGGCAGGCACTGGCGACGTGGCTACGTGGCCAAAGCACCTGAGCCCCTGTTCCCAGCCCGTTTGCAAACCAGCATATTTTCGCGAGTGTCGATGTGTTGGTGTCGACGCGTAGCCGGCCCTCAGCTTATGCCGATGATGACGTTTGATGGCTGCACTGACAGAATTAGCGAGTGGCCAGCGGGTCGAGCCTACACATGTCCTAACCATTGCCATTCTAATTGGCCTTGAATGGGTCTCGTGTTTCCAAATTTAAGAACTCAATTGTTTGTCGATGATTTGATTTGGCGCAATTTAGTTATTATGCAGCCCACTAAACCCTATGATGGTAGCTTAACTATACTAAAATTAGTTTAAATTGACACTAATTTGGCAAATATATGAATAGTCTTTAGGTATTTATAAACAAGTTCTAGAGTACTATGTTTTCATATGAAACAGTGATTCTATGAATCACACATCGGATAAAAAATGAAACAAATTTAGACATTCCAATAATAGAAAGGAATAATATATAATTTTTTATGTATGTTCTCATGTACAAATATGTATTTTTGGTGTGAATATATTCATTACTTTTAAATTCACTGATATGACAAGACACTCATTCGCCTTTTTCTTTGGTCATGATTGCGTCTAGCTTTATAGCTCTGAATAAAAATATGTTGATTATATTCACTACGTTTTTTTGTTTGTAAAATTATTGGTGAATACATCTTTTTCCTTGTGTGAATAACTCATTATCTTCTGCACTTAACAATGTATTGTTGAATATACTCATAAAAACACTCATGAATATACTCATGTATTCTGTCATTAATATATACTATA